AACAATGTATAACTCCAGCTCTGACTCCAGCTCTGAGATCCCAGCTCGCTGAAAGCAGGTTTCTGGAGTTTTTTTTAGCTTCTATATGTTACTGTGTTTCAAACTGCCTGCTCAGAGGCCTGCATCGGCAGGCGGGGAATGTTGAAGCAAGCCTCATGTTCAGTTTAAGCTGCCTGGCTGCCGGTCGCCATCTTGGCTGTCAGTTAATTTGCATATCTTGCTGATTAGCCAATGGGAAGGGTAGCAGTCGTACGCCAATTACCATGTTTCTCTTTTATTAGTGTAGATATCCTAGGGCAAAGGAAACTAAGGAGAAAATAAAAAATTGGGGCCACATCAAAATAAAAAGCTTCTGCTCAGCAAAAGAAACTGTCAACAAAACGAAAAGGGAGCCCACTGTATGGGAGAACATATTTGAGAATGATACATCTGAAAAAGGGTTAATATCCAAAATATATAAGGAACTCATACAACTTAACAGAAGGAAGACAAACAATCCAATTAAAATATGGGCAAAGGATATAACTAGACACTTTTCCAAAGAGGACATACAGATGGCTAAGAGACATATGAAAAAATGCTCAAGATCACTGATCATCAGAGAGATGCAAATTAAAATGACAATGAGGTATCACCTCACACCTGTCAGAATGGCTACCACCAACAATAAACAAATGACAAGAGCTGGTGAGGATATTGAGAAAAGGGAAGCCTAGTACACTGCTGGTGGGAATGCAGACTGGTGCAGCCATTACTGAAAACAGTATGGAGTTTCCTCAAAAAACTAAATATGGATCTGCCATTTGATCCAATGATTCCACTTCTAGGAATATAACCTAGAGATACATGAAATAAAAATTAGAAAGGATGTATGCACCCCTAGTTCATAGCAGCATTAATTTACAATAGCTAAGATCTGGAAAAAGCCCAAGTGCCCATCAGTAGATGAGTGGATAAAAAGCTGTGGTACATTTATACCATGGAATACTATGCAGCAGTAAAAAAGAAGGATCTCTTACCCTTTGAGACAGCATGGAGGGACATGAAGAGTATCACGCTGAGTGAAATAAGTCAGTCAGAGAAAGACAAGTATCACATGATCTCACTCCTATGTGAAATCTAAATAACAAAATACACTAATGAACGGAATGTGTCCAGAGCTATGGAAGCAGGGAACAGAGTGCAGAATCTCAGAGGGAAGGCGGGGGAGGGTAGGTGGGTGGGAGGTAATCAACCAAGGACCTTGTATGCATATATACATGGCCCATGGACACAGTTAATGGGGCAGTGAGGTCCTGGGTCTGGGGATGGGCTGGATGGGGTCAGGTGGGCAGAGGGGGAGAAGAAGACATATGTAATACTTTTCAACAATAAAGAATTATTTTAAAAAATTCTGGAATTAGAAAAAATAAACAATAAGACAAATATAATATTTAGGGACAACAGAAAAGTTATTGATAGCAAGAAATGATATCTAAGTTAATATATTAATATAAGTGGATGATAGGCAGGCAGTAAGTATGCTAACTTCTTTCATACAAAAGGCAGAAAAAATACTTTTTTCTATTTGCTTTAATAATGATAGAAATAAAGGCTAAACAGAAGCATGAGTACATGCAACTGACAGTTGACAAAGGGAGGGGCAACTAGAAATAAAAATGAAATACCATGCTTTGATAAGAATATCCTGAGTTCACTGTACAGATGTGCTAGAAACACAGGCACATATAGCACAAGGACGGACAGTGCCGCAGGTCCTGGTACAATGTTTTCTTCAATGTCGTTTTGTTTCGACGCTGATGGGATGCTAGGGGCACTAACTCTGGTTCCTATGCATTAGCCCATGATCAAATCGTTTCCCTTTAGTCAACAGACCACTGTGTGCTGTGTATGGCTCTCCCGCCCCTACCTCATCCAGCAGCGCCAGGTGCACCGGGGTGTGGTCAGTCTGAAGCTGGAAGTACCGTGGCTCTGACACGGTCCAGTCCACCCACTTCAGCACACCCATCGCCACCACTGGAAACCTGCCGGTAACAAGACACAATGCTCCCTTTCAAAATTTTTTCAACAACAAACAGAAAGGTTTAAAAAACAAGGACAACAAGCTCAATCTATCCCATCAATCCTTTCTGATACTCTCTGCAAGGGAGATACCCATTAGTGAGGGATGAGCTGGCTCCCTGCCAACATGCAGTGAAGAACCCAGCTCAGCGCTCGGCTCCTTGACTTCCTCCCTGCTTGACAGAAGAGCATCCATGCAGCTCCGCGGGCGCTGGGGGACAGGTTGAAGTTCAGTGTTATTTAGCAGACCCCCTCCCTGTCCCTATAGCACAGGCTAACGGGAAAGACTCAAGTGCCTAGAGAACACCCATTTGTAAGCTTTTCTATGAACTCTTACTGATAATTGGCATAATTGTTGGGTCTAACTTTTACTGTCAATAGACCCTTTTCTCCAAATCAGTTTTTGTAACTCAGTTTAAAGTTCCCTATCAACATTCAAACAAGAAAAAATAAATGAAACGAGTAAACATTTCTGAAGCGTCTGCAGGGTTTGAGCAAACCACCCTGAGGGATGAGGGTGGGCCCCGAGCGCGCTGCTTACCTGATGCACTGGTAGAGTGTGCTCAGCTCGGCCACCAGTTCAGAGGCTCCTTTGTTCTCATTACAGCACAGATTGTGAACGGTTTCCACGGCCTTCGATGTTGACTTCAGCTCATCCTTGTTGATGCTCACTCGCTTGTTCTGAAAACACCCCAACCCCGTTGGTGAGTCCCAGAGCACATGCCGAGCCAGTGGGGTGATCTGCTATGGGCCACCTCTCCCTGCAAAGGCCCCTCCCTACTCTGAAGTCAGGGGTCCATTTACATTTAACTGTCACCCTCCCCAGTCACACATTACAGAGAGACTGAAAAAGGTCTCTCTCTTTTTTTAAGATCTCATTCTTTAGTCACAACAAACTTCAAGCTATAGTTTGAATAAGTAGTAGAGATGCTGTGTTCATTTTCTTGAGACTGTTTTTGGCACTTCGACTGTTTTATGAATAAACACTAAAAAAGACATTTCTGACACTGTACGGGCTCCTGATTTCTTGCAGCCAGAAGCCAAGAGGAGGGGGTCACTTGTGTCCCTAACAGCACCTTCTTCCAGGTCTCCACCACGCTGGCCGCATACGCCAAGATGTGGATGTACTTGTGCTTGTGGTCCTGGTTGATCCTGGCGCCAGGTTTGAAGAGCGACTGCATGAACAGGTCCAGGAAGGCTGGCACCCGGATCTGGGGAGGACACATGACAAGTTGGGAGGGGACGCAGAAACATGGCAGGTGAGTCCATGCGCTCTCATGTGGGCGGTGGGCCGTGAGTGGCGCACACCCAGCAGCTGCTTCAGTGTGTGGGCTTGGCGTGGGCTGGGGAGGACCAGGCAATGCCCAGAAACATTTCGACAGGAGTTTGTGCTCACTGGCGTGAGAGAATTAAGAGAGACACAGACTTCCGCAGTCCCCCTTCCAACTCGGCACGGGGTGCCCCGCTTTACTGTTACAATGAAAAGGCACTTACGAGTTCCACAGGAGGCGGGTCCATGCTCGTAAACATCTTGAACAGGACTGTGATGTCAGCCGGATTCAGGGCTCCTTTGGACAACATAGCCCCCAGGGCCTGGCACGCCCTCGGGTAGGAGGCTGCCGTGCCTAGTGCTAGTGTGATCTGACTGGCATCATGGCCTCTTGGTGAAAACAATCAGATAGCTCATCGTCAGTAAGGGAGCATACACCATTAATGACCCCTCCCTGCCTCCCTTTTCCTCAGTGAATGCTCTGACGGCTGGGATCCCTGTTTTTTCCTAGTCCTGCTTTCACTGTACACTCACTAACTGACCCAGGAGACAACACCTGGAGCTACTGGGAAGGAAGGGTTCCAACACAGCTTGCAGACTTTCTAAAAGGAACCACTCAATTTCTAAATACCTTGTTACAATAGAAAATAAAGACAATAAGAGCTAATCTTATTCTACAATATGGACAACACCACAATAATTAGACTACTGACTAACCACTTCCAGACTATTCTTATTTACAGCTGATAAATTCCAATATATGAAAACACAGGTTCAAAACTCCAGTGAGTTGAACAATCTTCAAGTATTTAACAAATTATTCATCAAAGCAACACTTAAGGAAGCAAGGCCTCCCCATGTCCTGAAGTTTCCCTGGCTTCTCCAGCTTGGGGGTCAGAGGCAGGCTGCCCGTGTGACCGGATAAGAGGGCCTAGAATCTTCGGTTGTGGAAGCAGGGCAATGGGGGGTCTACTGGGGCACCTAGCAGGACCCGGTGATCACAGACACCGCTCACTTCTCCTGGGCGAAGCGCTGGACCTCCTGAGCGATCCTGCGCACGGCGGAGCCGCCCTGCTCCTCTTGAGCCAGCACGGACATCATGGCCTGGGCAAACAGGTATGTGTGCTCCCCATGGCACACCATTTTCTGAAAAATTCCAGGGACAGAGTGTGAGGTTTCACGATACAGCAATGACAAATGCAGAGCAAAGAGCAGATGACCCTGTCCTCCTGCAGGAAGCTGCCATTGTGGAAGGAGCTTCTGGCCGGGGTGTCCCCTAAAGGAAGGGGCATTTCACACGGGAAATGCTCAACCCAGCTGCCTCTTTCCACTCCGAGATCAATTAAGAACTTACGGCAAACTCAGGAAGATTTTTTTCAAGGTTTTCTTCTCCTCCATCCAAAATTGTAGCCAGAGAGGTACGGAGTACTCTAGAGAACACCTCCAGCTGCTGGCAGGCTGTGGATACACTGGTTATCTCCCCTTGGTACCCTGCGTCAGAAATAAGCTACAACCAAAAATAAGAAGCCAAACAGAGTGTCAGCAAGTAGCGGCTACACATTTCACAGCAAGTTGGCTTGTTATCAGTGTTCGTGGTGAGATGGGACAAGCAAACACTGGTCTCAGTCACACACCTTCACTCTGACCCTGCTTCGCCTCTAACTAGGTTTGTGCCCAAGCCGACCACCTGGCTCGGTTTCTTTGTAAAATGGAGGAGACAGACCAGGAAGTCCTAAAGGCCCCCTTGGGACACAATGGACTCTATGTTTCTGCCAAATCCTAGAAACCCCAGATATGTTGACCCAAAAGCACACATACAAATTCTGTGCTTTTCTTTCTCATGTAAGGCTTACTAAAGTAAAATGATGAAGGCCTTTACCCAAAAAGCAAATGCAGTCTTTCAAAGGAGAAAGATCACCCACCCACTAACCATCCTTAAAAATAACAATTGCTCATGAACGCTTTTGTCTTCCTCTGACTCTGGCCCTCTTCCTACCTTAACAGTGAAGTTAAGCATCAAACAGTCTGGGTGGGCTTCAGCCAGTTTGTAGAAAAGATCTCTCCATGTGGTATGTGCAATCATTTGTTCAAGCCAAGCTGGGGTCTGCCGACAGACAGACAGACAGACAGACAGACAGGGAGAGGTGAGGCCCAGCATTAGCTTAGTGAAGACTGTGCTGTCTAAACAATCACGGATATTTTCAGCTGCAGAGTAGAGCCCTGGGAGCACTGGATGTGGCCCCACAGTCCCAGAGCTGCTGACGCCACACGAGCAGCTGAGTGACAGTTGAACACCCACTCACGGCTTCTGGGAGAGCCGACTCCACACAGGACACGCCGAGGCACTTCCCGGAGACTTCCAAGAGTCCCACAGAAGCACGCGCACAGGAGTACATTTCACGCACAACTGCTTCCTACTAAATCAGCTGTGCGCCTGGGCACAGAGGACAGGCAACTGAAATAGCGCAGGTGGCTTTGCCATCACTGGTGAAGCAGCCATGGGAATGTGACTCTCAGCTCTCGTACTGCGTGGCTAGCCTCTGCACCCACCAGCATCCGCGCCAAGGTTGAGCTGCCCATAGGCTGCTCCCAGACACTGAGGTGGCAGGGCTCTGAGGGCTCCAGTGACAGGTGATTGTGGCTTGCAGACTCTGACACTGCTGAAACTTTCTGACAACTGCACTATCGTCTGAGACCCCTCCTACCCGCCCTCCCTCTTGTCTTCCGGGGTCAGACCTGCCTCACAGCTCCTCTAGCCACTACCCGTCTTCCTCAAAGGTGTGTCCCCCCAAACCTCCCTCTTATTAATCCAGCCCTGGCACCTCCCTTTTGGAGGACCTAAATGAACAAACCACACCACCTCAGAGCCTGCGCCTAGAGTAGCATGGAATGGGAGGTGGGAATCTGCTGTTCTTTCTGTGGAGCTGGTACCTGTGTGCCTCTCCCCACTAGACCAAGTGTGGCATTTAAAGGGCAATTCTGACTTGATGCAATTTCTGGCTCACACCCCGATTTTAGTCCCTAACGCTTACATTTCTTATATCACATGCCACACTCCACTGTACACATGGAATTAGTAAAAGGCCTTAGGAACTGGTATTAGAAAAAGAAAAAAGGCCCCTCACCTCTCCTTCTTCAGTAAAAATAGAGTCTGCTTTGCGGGGGTCAAAGTGTTTGATCAATAAATTCTTCAAGTGATTCTCCACGGTCTCCTGCACCTGCACGGGTTCAACGCCTGAGAGAGAACGACAACCTCTCAACTCGTTTGCTTTAAAGAAAGTAGACAGCTCCAGTCTATACGTGAGTCAAATATCAGAGACCTGCTTCTGACAACTGAGGATCTGGGATCTCTTTTAAAAATTCCTATTTAGTAACCCTACTCAGTGCTAAGAGCCCAAAGGAGCACAGAGCAGAACACAAGGATGCTCCACCCTTTTCTACACGGACAGGACAATGTCTTCAATCCTCGCTAAGGACAAGGACAAATGACCAAACCAGACAGGCAGGGGGACAGACAGGCAAACCTCTGCACAGGAGGAGGGAGCAGATGCCAGCCAGCGGAGATACTTGTCTAATCACTGTGACAGCGATGACAGACTCGTTTTCAGGAAGTCTTACTGTGTCGCCGCAGCCACTTTCGTGACTGACAGGAGGCTCTACTCTGATCACATTCACTGAAAGCCACAATCATACTCAGCCCTAAACTGTCCACCATCTGCTGTTTGCTCTCATGGACCTCTGAGATGGCACACTGAACATACACCGTACAATAGTCCAATGAGAATCACAGTAGTGGGCTATCTGTAAACCTCAGTTCCCGAACGAAAGATAAGGGTAGGAAAGTTCAGTTCCGTCTTACTAAGTCTTAAAAACCAGGAAGACAGAGAAGCTTTCCTAAATATCAGCATTATAATGACCCAAAGGTCTTCGGAAAAGGGGGAGAAGGTGATGAGCAGCCAGGACAGGGGCCACCCACAGAGCACCTGTCTGAATGAGCCACTCCGCCAGCAAGTTGACAGTCTGGGCCACAGCAGTGTAGTTCTCTGACAAGAGCTGGATCACGTTCTCTGGAGACCCTCCTGCCTGAAAGTACCTAGAAAAAGTAACAAACTCTTACACTAAAATGACGGTAGACAGGCAAGGGGTGGATGACAATAGGGAGGCAGGTAAGGAGGGACAGGTTATTAAGGTTTTTACAGTGTGGAGGGGACCCCTAGAAGCCTTCCTGTCCAATATCACAGCATTCTTACTTTTACAGGTCACCTTCTGGGTGCACTACAAAACCTTCCCTAAATTATCGCCACCCTCGTCCCAAAACAAATAACCCTTCTCACATCCGTACCTCTTGAGAGTGTTGAAGATGGAGGGCTCCATGATGTAGTCCCGGGTGGAAAACTTGTGGAGGCACTCCTGCTGGACCTCAGCGTCATCCTCCCCCTCGGCATACTCCTCCTCCTGCTGGGGGTCATGTCTCCATTAACACACGCTCCCGTAACCTCACAAGTCTCTCTCACACTGTCCCCTTCAAATTATTCCACACACGGCACATTACTACATGTGACTTCCGTGCGACTCTCAGGGCGTGGGCTGGCCAAGAAAATGGGATCCAGAGTCACACCTAGGGGGCCTCTACCCTATGCACACGGTCACACGAGCCACCTCGTCTCTGGGCTCCTTCCCTGTTAAACTAACAAAGGGCATCAAAGCACCTACTCCCACTTGGCTATTGGGAGGACTGCACAGCTAATTTTTGGAACAGCCAAATCCAGTGCCTGCCAATTAGTAAGAGTTCAGCAGACATTAGCTATTACTGTTTTTACTATTATTCTGTATGTGCCATTTCACGCATTCTGGCCAAGTTAAGGCAATAGTGATTCCTGCAGGCACACACCACCCATCTGCTGTTAGTAAAGACCACAGACTTGCATCGTATAAGCAGCCCTGGCTGGGTTCTAGTCCCCCTTCTGCCTGGAAACCACTTAAGCACCTAGCCGAGTCTAAGGACAAAGCAGCAGGATGACGTGATAACCGTGGACCAGTGACCCCGAGGTCTGCCCAGCTTTCCCCCTGTCGTCCTAATGAACAAGCAGCTGCTCCTGAACACTGGCTGTGCGCAGGGAGCACTGGCTGACCCCCAGGGACCTAAGAACATGGAAGACAAGGCGTGTCTCTCCACCCAAGTTCACAAACTAGTTGGAGACCAACCTCCATGGAACGGACTCTCCGTGGGGCAAGAGCTGAGCCAGACTCAGCAATCGTGGCCCGGGGCCCAATCCAGTCCTCCTCTTGTTTTTGTGAATAAAACTGTATTGGAACAACAGCCAACCCGTTTAACAACATGGTACCTATGGCTGCTTTCCCCTTAGAAGAGCGGAGCTGAGTGGCTGTAGAGCCCTGCACAGCCTAAAGCCCCGTGGCCATCACAGAGAAGTTGGCCCCCCCTGGGCGGACCGGGGGTCCCCGCTGAGACCATGCCTGACGGGAGCCCTGAACAAGGCTGTGAGGGATGCAGGACTCCCCGAGGCTCCTCCTCCTGTATGAGTCTTGGGCCTCGACCCTGGACCCCCCTCCCTCCTCCTCCATCTCCTCTTGGACCAGACCACCTCCCTGCCCATGAATCCAGAATTTAGCCTCGATCAATTGATTGATGGATGGATACCTCTCTCTCTCCAGACTCAAGTATTCATCCGTCTATTCTCATGTCCATTCAGATGCCCCACCAGAATTCCAAACTCACGTGATCCAAAACTGACCTCACCCTTCCCCTACAGCCCCTATTTCAGTACAAGGCTCCCCATCTGCCTGTTACCCCAAGGCCACAGACCTAGGCACCCTCAATCCCCCGCTTGTCGGTCCTGCGAGGCCCTTCTCGCCATCCCCTCCCTATCCCGGGGGTGTCACAGGACCAGCATTTCCCTCTCACCTCTCACCCGATGCCACAGGCATCTTTTAAAAATGTTTTACTTTTTAACCCTCACCTGAGAATATTTTATTGATTTTAGAGAGGGAAACACTGATCTGTTGCCTCCTGTACGCACGGGATCAAACCCTCAACCTAAGTATGTGCCTGACATCGACCGGAAACCGTTCTGTACCGGGCGATGCTCCACCAACCCGGCCACCAGGCCGGGGCGGCTACCTTCCTAAGCCGCCAAGCAGGCGTTGCGCTCCGAAGACACACCCGCGCCCTAGGGGTGCCCTCAGCCTCCGGCTGCCCCTGGCCAGGCACAGCCCTCGCTCGTGCTTCCCCCTCGTGGGCGTCACATCTCCCCGCCTTCCTCCATCAGCAAGCTCGGCCCCAGGGGACAGGACAGGGGTCACACAAATGGACCCAGCAGCATCGTCCCGAACTCAGCTCAGCCACCCCTTCACCTTCCCTGCCCTTCTCCTAGTCTGCGCAGGTACAGGGCGCCATTGGGAGCGACAGTGCCAGCTCGCCGGGCCCCATCGGCGAGAGCCCAGTGCGGGGCGGAACTGGGTCGTGGCTGAGGCTCTGTCAGTGGGGCGCAGCCCGGGCCGCCATGCCCCCGGGCCCG